AAATTCATCGATTTTAAGCGGTTTTGAAAAGTAGATTTCTTCAATACAGATAGTGAGAATATTCTTTTGAAAATTAAAATAATTAAGAAGTAAGAAAACATATCGAACACATCCTATATACATGGAAATATTTACTGGGCTGGCAAGTTATTTTAATCATTTGAATTCCAAGCGGCGCCATCGCGCTTCTCCGTTACGCTGTTTAAAAGAGCCAGTCTATCAATTCGTAGAATCGGATGAAGCTTATTTATTGCTTTTCCTTCTAATTATTCGCTTTTATTTTTGTTATTATCCGCTTAGAACTGGAAAAATGTAACGATCACACTGTTTAAAATTTATTTTTGTAAAAATAGACAAACGTAATCGCGCCGCTTGGCATTTGGACCGGGTTTTTGCAAAAACCGGTGGGATTCAAACGGTTAAATGAAACATAGCCTTGAATTTAGAAAGACCAAAGTTCGAAATATCATGTAAAAGAAAATTTTTCGTCAATTTATATCTAAAACAATTTGAAGATTAATTATATTTTTAAAAAATTGTGATCGTACTCTTTGTAAATATACTGTTCAGTTTATAAAATGAAAGGAAAAAAATTTGTTACAAAAAGATAGAGTTTAAAGCGTACAAATTTTTTGTCCGCGATTCGTTTGGAATTAAATTTCGTAGATCAAACAAAAATTATGGGGCAGGCTTTTTCAGCAAGATTCTTTTTATACGCTATAATAGATATATTAGTTTTAAAGCGTTAGTACCATAGAAACTTTTGTTCCGTTTTGGGCAAGTTTATCCTACCATGCCTGTAAATATTTTGAACCGTGTCGGAGACACCCTATATAATTTTAATATAGGTCGTTAGGAAACTTTGTAAGTAAAAACTATTCAATGTTCTGTCAGACACTAGTAATATTTTCATCAAATATCCGTCAAAATGTGGAGTTCGAGTCAGAATTACAAATTCGAAAAATATTATAATCGGTATCTTCACGGAGTTATCGGTGTATATTTACATAATACACACACGCACGAAAGTATAGCAGAGTAAAACTTAAAGGTGTATATACCAAAAAAGCAATCGTACGTCGAGTATTTACATTGTTCGTTCGCAGAACATACGATACTAGAATTAATGTTTAAAACGTTCGACTCATAATTTAATGGATTAATTTAAATTATTAATAAACGCTCCACGTATAGGAGACACATATAAGCGGGCATAGCTATAGTATAATTCAGTATAATCGAAAAATAGTATTTGCAATAATATTTTCGAATATTTTGCGCATTCGAAGGGTTGTTCGTTTTTTTACGGAGGTGGGGTTAAAAAGTGACTCATGATTTCTTTTTTACGAAACCAAAAAAGCGTTTCGACTTGCAACTTTATTCGCGTATTAACAAAGAGAAATGTTAATTTAAATATTTAGTTATTAAAAAGAATTATTATTAATAGAAATAATGAAGTATTTGTTATCTTAAAAGCTATGAGTCGAAACATAAGACTCGAGCTTTTCTATGGTTATCATATCCTTGATATATATTTTTTCATTGTGATTCATCAGTTGCATCAAAATTTTGCATATGTTTCTGTAGTAGATACTATAAAAATTTTACATTTTACTTATGATGGCAATTAAAGTTGAAAAATTCGTAGAAAGATCAATACTTGTATATTTGTAGGCCGCCATTTTGTTTGACCACCAGAAAAAGAATTTTTACCACGGAAAAATTGTTCAAGCTCATAACTTGTTGAAAATACATTGATTCGTTAAGGAATAATTACGTTAATTCCAGAAATACATTCATCAAATTGATATGTAGCTCTTCGAATATTTGTCCATTCTTGCATCATTTAAGCGAAATAAATTCTATTAACGTTTAAATAAATTCGATCGTTTATTTTACTTTTAAAAATAAAATAAAGTCTCTATATTTTTACCATTGAAATTATTTTAAATATTAACATTAATGGCAAAGAGTTACAGATCGAAAACGCTATTTGCATTTCTCAAGAGGAGGTCATCTATTCTGACTTCCAGAGAAAACGAACAACCCGTTCACAAAACAACTTGTCCTTTATCTTAATCGTTGTTCTCTATAATTACGTAACTCGAAACATTATTTACAGAATTGTTAGTGACAGCCTGTATTAAAAGTCTAAACGATAACAGCGAATACGTTAAATGAAAATCTGGAGAAACGTAAAAAAGTCGACTCTGTACATACATAAGAAGCGTTCGCGATTATTTTAGGTACTAATACTTGAATTGATGCGAAGATTTCACAATGAATTCCTATTCGAATAGAAGAGATAACCCCCGGAGAATTTACATCAATTCAATATTACTTCCTCGTTTTATTATTATTGTTAATTGGTATTTATCAATAACTAACGTTATTAGCCACCTTGTATATATAACGCAGTCTGAGAAACAATCTTTTAATATATGTATGTACCTTTGGTAAAAAACATCGACCACGTAATACGGCAGTTACTAATGAACGTCTATTTTATTGATGAGCGAGAACTGAAAAAAAGAAAAAGAAAAATTGAAAGAACAGAAGCCCGACGAATTATTTGTTTTAGCTTCACTCAACGAAACACCGAAGAGATTCATTTCTTCGAGAAGAAAAAAGAAAGGAAACGATAATATTTAGTTCCTCTAAAAGGTAAATCAGTTATAGTGGGATTCAGAGAATAATTAGTTATCATTATCTTCCTTTGATTAGAACGAAAAAATATTACAACTTCATTTTATAAATATTTATAACAGTCGTAAGTCGTTCGAACTAATTTGAATGAGAAATATCGAGAAAGAATAGCATAACAAGATCATACTTGAAATCTGGAGAGCAAAGACGATGGGACAAAAATATTTGTTTACAATGCACTCGCTTCAGAAAATGTCGAATTGTAATTTGAACGTAGAACGATTGTTTGTAGCTTGACTAATCTATCAATGAAAAACAATGAAGTGTCGCCGTCGAAAGTATGCGTTTCGAAAAGACGTAAAACGTTGTTTAATACAACACCTTAGAAACGATATTTTGTTTAGAATTACTCGGCTCGCCTCCTCAAGATCAAAACGAGGAACCACGGTGCCTCCGATTCGAAAATATGAAAAACATCGAGAATTCTTTGATCTTTGTCCCAAGATGTCTGGTGTTTTTATATTTTACGATTACCGCATAAAATAGATGTTAACACTTAAACATTTAACTAGATTAACAACGCTCTTGTTCGCAGCGCGATTCGACTCGTGGTGCTTAAAAAATACCTAAGTACAAGCATTTAGAAGACTGTACATCTTAAATCAACATTTTACACGGACACTCGTGTCTATTGAATTCATCTCACCTAATACATAGTACCCATAGCCGAACTCACGGAAACAATTTCATCCTTGGAAAAAACTGATCAGAACTCTTTTAAAATACGGTGTCCTATACAAATATTTAATATGGTGTATCTATACGTATACGCAGAGTTCTCCGTAATATATAGAATACTCAGGAAACTCGAAGCATTCGAATCAAACTCCCGTGTCGACGGAATATTAACGTTTGCAATACGGTGTCCATCGTGAATCCTCATTTTTACCCAAAATAATATTACGTTTACTAACCTAGAATAAATTAAATTATAAATTATTCGAACTTTTCGGTTTCGGTTTACACCATAGCTTCCTGTGCAGTATTCTCGAGATCAGTAAATCGAGACTGCAACCCGGCACTAATCGTACAGTGGTGTTGATTCGAAGTCGAGATAAGATTCGAGCCGAGAGACGATTTTGGGACGATCAGAACAAACAGATGAATGAGGGGATATTATTGCAATGTTCAACTGTTTTATTCTCCGCTTTTACTAATTGAAACTTTCACCAATTGAATTGTAAGCTTTTTCTGATTAGAACGAGACCAAACACGAAACAATTTGGAACAAATTTACCTTTGCACTCGGGAGGTGACTCTCGACTCTCCAGTTATCCCTTTGTATTGCTATGTGAAATATTTAAACAAAATAGCTTTGTTGCTTAATTTATCTGTGAATTATCGTTAGATTAGTGTCAAACGATGCCGTCTGTATCTCATCGGAAAATGTTGAATATTTCCAGTGAAAAACTTTCCGAGTGCAAATGGTTAATAAATCACAATAATCTATTTTCTTCTAGTAAATCGTGATTTAAATTATGTCATGTTTGGTCTCGTTTTAATCAGAAGAATCTCACGGATGTGTTAGTAAAAGTTTCATTTACAAAAATATCCTTATAAACAAGTTTTATAATTGCATTAATATTGTCTCACCGATATCCACGTGCCACCACTGAACAAATCATATTACAACTTCGACGGTCGTCGAAATTGAATACGTATTTACTAATCGCAAGAATACTGTATTGCATACGTTACGAAATGCTCTGCGTACAGAATTTTCGTAAGTGTTACATTGTTAATAAGACAAGATTCGGCACTCCTAAACTTGTGGTTTGCGGAACGAAACGTTCGAAATCAACGATTAGATTTTCCGCGCGCGTAGACTCGCGATGCCGAATTTTGCGATTCAAATGAGACGAATCTCTATGGGGTGCAAGTTTCCGTAGCCTCTCTCACGCGGGAGTATCAGGGAATCGTCCATTTAATCGTTCGATCAACTTAAGAAACAATCTGTATGTAGTATATTTATGTACTATCTACAAACGCATCGTCGAATTCAATACAGATACCTCTATATTGCTGCGATTAAGCTACTATATGGTATGCGATGCATATTATTTTCTCGCCGTTTCGTAGCCGTT